GAGGCTCATGGAAGTAGAATATAGTCAGCCCTCAGGAAAAGGCTGAACCTGGGAACTGGAAGGCTGTCAGCATCCGAGAGAGTTTCTGTTCTCTCTCGTTGCTGATTTCTATCTTCAGATCATCTCTGCTCCTCTCCTCAGCCGAAGAGATAGGTAGAAGATGGCCACCCCACCGGGGCCCACACTGCAAATTCCAAGTCCTCTACAAAGACTGACCTGACCCAGCGGGGAGGGGAAAGAGATGTTACAGACCCAAACTGCCACAGGAGAACATCTGATTGGTCTGTTTTGACCACATGACTATCTTTGGTGCAAGCAGCTACGATGGAGTGGGAATAAGATGTATATATGAGGCTGCTGGAGGCCTACCCCTTTGACCCATGGATGGAGAGGAGAGAATTTTCAAAGATTGGGAATTCTTGAAAGTTGGGGATTCACTCTACCACCCCCTGCCCATTATCTAGAAGTCTGCATAAAAAGTCAGACCCTGTAACAGTCTTGGCGATGTAGGAATTGGCTATGCTTCTTTTTTCAGTGTGGCACTCCTTGTTCGGCTGGCATTTGCAGAGCCGCAAGCCCTGGTTCATTGAGCCCTGTCCCGACCATCAGCACCCCACACTCCAGCTTCTTTCCTCGCTGCGCTTCTCCTTCTGTCCCTCCTTTGCACCCCTCTTCGGGCCTACTGGCTTCCTTGCCAAGGGCAAAAGAGGTCTTTGCAGGTGATGGCAAAGCAGGCCTGTGTGTGAGCTCCGGTGGGATTCCTGAAGTGAGCCCCTTGGCCCACTCTTGCACTCCTAAGGTTTGGAATGTTTATCTGAAAAAAAAGGCTTTACCTGTCTCCTCCCTGATAAGTGTCCAGCCTGTCTGTCTCTGGGTGACTGGTCCGTGTGTAGAGTGTTCATCCATCTGCTGCTCTGGCTCTCTCCTCCTCTTTTTCTCCTCCCTCACCTGAGTAGAGGAGATGGAATCCAGGTCCTGCCCTCGGTCCTCTCCCGCCCTCATTTATGCGCTGTGTTCCCTTCCCTTCTCCTCAAACAGCAGACATGGGGTTGTGCTGGAGCCCAGGTGGAAGAAGTGGTATTAATCTAGCAATTATTGACTCTAGAGGGACTTGGCAAACAATTTATATAAAAACCGTAAGTGAGTGGAATTTCTGCTTTGGAAATTAGGTGCTTTAAGGCCAGGGGCCTGGGGGAGGAGAAGAGGCCCAATATGCGCTCCTAATTTAGATTCCAAAGCTCAGGATCTGGCCACACCGACCCAGGGTGGGGAGGCAAGAAGGCCTTGAGGAATTGGGGGCAGGGAGAGGGTTGAGAATAATGAGGGGAGAGCAATCGTCCTACACTTTAGATGTTGCTGGTAGAGGAAAAGGCCAGCTCATGTCTAAAAGATGATATTTGCGTATGTGTTGAATATCACCAATTAGGTGTTATATCAGCCAGGGTCCCCCCAGGAAACAGATGGCACACTCAAATTGGGAAATGGGAGGACAGTTTAATAAAGGAACTATTTACAAAGCTGTGGGAAGGGATTTGGGAACCATATGGGTCTGCTCACTGTGGGCTCACTGAGGCTGGCGAGGAGCGGGCAGCACTCCTAGACCTAAAGGGGGAAAAGGAGGAGGGGAAGGGGAGAGGGGGTGGCTGCTGCAACCTGGAGGCAGAGGAGCCTGTAGGACTGGAGCTCACTCTGCTGCCTCCTCTCTCCTCCCTTCTCCCGACTTCTGCCAGTGCCCTGCCACACACACGCGCGTGCACACACACACACACACACACACACACACACACACACACTTGGCCAAACAGAGGGAAGGAGTCCCTGATCCTCTCCCCCGCCTTCTCACAGCTCCCCCACACACACACGCGCGTGCACACACACACACACACACACACACACACACACACACTTGGCCAAACAGAGGGAAGGAGTCCCTGATGCAGCCTAGGCACAGAGCAGGAGCAGGGGAGAGAGTGGAGGGGCAAATAGAAAGCATCCAGCACAGGTGTCAACAAAAGGAAATCCCCCAGTCCACCGCTCCGCCCCTCCCCCCACCGCCCTGCCTCCCCTACCCAAGGCACCAACATAGCTCTCATTAATGGATGCTCACTGTCTGCCAGGCACTGCTCCAGGCCTTTTAAAGATAGTAACTCCTTTAATACTTATATCTGCTGAAGGAGTTAATTTTGCTATTGTCAGTCACTCCCAATCAAGGGAAACTAAGTCAGGCAGAAGTTAAGTTTTTTTCCCAGAGTCAGCTGGTAAGGAGAAGAGCTGGGATTTGAACCCAGGTTGACTGGCTCCAGATGGTTGGCCCTGCCCTTTGATTCCCTTCTGTCCCGAGTCCAGGAATCAGTGTCAGAGAAAGGAGATGGTGGGCACCAGGGACAGGATGGCAGTGCCAAGCCCCAGGCAGCAGGAAGGACCCAGCTTACCACTGAGGAATAACTACACGTGAGCAACAGTGTGAAACTCTCCAGGGAGTAAGTTTGGGCCAAACTTCCCTCGCAGAGGATCTCTGCTAAGAGGGATGGCCAGGCTCTTGGGTGGAGGGATGGCCAGGCTCTTGGGTGAAGGGATCAAAAAGGTGTTCTAGGGACTACTGGCCCACAGGGTGTGGCATGGGGCAGGGTAAGGAAGAAGGGGACTCTGCTGGGCACGTACACTGTGTGGTCACTGCAGCAATGGAGTGGTTTTTTTTGTTATCCCATTCACATACAAGTGAGGAAACTTGAGCAGGAAGTAAATCATCCTACTGTAATTTTCCAGACCTGAGATAAGGTAGTGGCAGTAGGGAGGGATGAGAGGAGGGTTTAGGAGCAAAGAGTCTTAGAGAGGATTGGAAGCCCAGGGGCCCCTAGTCCTCAGGAGGACTGGCAGAATCAACCTTGGGATCACCTACTTGCTGGCCCCAGGTGTCTGCCTCCAGTAGAAGTGATTCTGACTTGCTCTCTCCCCTGGAATCCCTGAGCAGTTCAGCCTTTCGTTTCACAGATGAGGAAAGTGATACCAAGGAGGTCAGTCAGTGGTGGGTCAGGGACCTGTGAGGGAAGTGGGGTCAGCAGGGCTTGGTGACACAGTGGATGGGTCGCAGGAGAGAGGTGGGAGCTGATTCAGAGGGTACTAGTCAGGCCTCCAGGGTAACTTTTGGTTTGTTCCATAGTAGAAGTTTTAAGGAACGAAAACTAGTTTAAATAAGATTTAAAAAATTTTTATGGACTAGGTAATATTAAACATATTCAATGTTCGAAGATGAAAATAATATAAAAAGGTATATATTGAGAAGCCTAACTCATCATTTTGTGAATTATAGGCAAACTTTTTAATTTATCAGTTTGGTTTATTTTTTCCAGTGTATGTTAATTCTAAGATGGGCAAATATAAGTATATATTCTTATTTCTACTCTCTTTTTACACAAAAAAGTAACCTATTATTATACTGTTTTGCACCTTGCTTTTCTCACTTAAAATCCCTGGAGATTTCTTCACATCAAAAATCTAGAGAAAAATCCTTATTCTTTTCTAGAGCTGCATAGTATTCCATTACAAATATATACCATAGCTTATTTAAGCAGTTTTCCATTGATATTCAGTTGTTTCATGTCTTTTGTTATTTCAAAGAATGCCACAGGAACAATCTCGTGCGTAAGTCACCTTGCACACGTGCAGGTGCCTCCGAAGTCTATTTTTGCTTCTCAATTATCTGAGATGAAGCAGCAAGTTTTACTTTTCAATTTACAGTCTGTCGCAGGTAGATACTTACACAAAATTTAATAAACGTAAATCACTAGAGAAGTGAAAACACTATGCAAAATACAAGCCCAAATATTTTGTTATTAGATCCAATAGACATAAAAATTACTCTCAAATTACTATAATTTGTTTTTAAACATTTACTCTCAAATCTCTACATTTATCTTGCCGTAGAGTCATTACATTTTGTGGATCAACACTGGTGCGTGGACCGTACTTTGAGCAGCACTGGTCTAGACTCTCAGAAATTAGGTCAAAGGATAAATGCCTCTTGTTTTGTCAAATATATCAGATTCCCCTCTATAGGTTGTACCATTTTGTGCACCCACCAGCAGTATATAAGAGTGCCCCTCTTTCCCACAGCCTCAGCAAGAGCGTGTTATCTAACTCGGAATTTTGCTGAACTGATAGGCGATCAGAGGTATCTCAGTCTAAATTTTAATTTGCATTGCTCCTATTATAAGTGAGAATAAGTGCTATTCATGTTTTTAAGCCTATTTACATTTATATTCCTTGTCCATTTTTCTACTGGATTATTGATTTTTTTCTTCTTGATTCCCAGGAGTTCCTTACATATTAGGAATATTAAGCCCTGGTCTGTAATATGATTTGCAAATATTTTTTCCCAGTTTGTCATTTGCCTTTTGATTTTGCTTGATGCTATTTTGGGGGGGTGGGGGGAAGGGAGAGAGAAAAGGAAGCATGCAGAAGTTTGTGATTTTTATGTAGTTAAATTTGTCAATCTTTTCTTTAATAGCTTCCAGATTTTGAGTCGTGGTTCTCCACTCCAAGGTTATAAAGAATTCTGCCAACATTTCTTCTAGTATTTTGATGATTTCATTCTCAGTATTTAATCTTTTATCTAGTTGGAATTTGTAAAGTGTGAGTAATGGATCCAAATTTATTTTTTTTTTAGAAATGGCTATTCACTCATCCTACGTCCATTTATTAAAATCTTAAGATACCATTTTTATCATTAAAACTAATTTTAAGCCATTTGGGACCCTAATAGAAAAAGCTCTGTAATTTGTCAGTTTTGTGTAGAAAATGATTCCAAGGGAAATTAGCTTTCAAGATATGATCTATAACTTCGTGTTACTAGAGCATAATAAACCCTAAGTAACATAAATAAAATATAAATTTATTTATTAAACAAACTAACCTATGGGGCCGCCGACAACCAAGAGGAACTTGGGAGAAGTGGGCATTGGCGAGGGAGCGCGTAGTGAGCTTGAGTGTTTGCGTTGCAGGTCTTCCCCCAGCCTGTCTCTGGAGCTGGGAGCTAGGACTGCAGAGGGGCCCACCATGGTGGTTCTGGGACCCCTGGCTATCACCCTGTTGCCGCCCAGCCTCGCACTGCTGGTGTTCCACCTCTCCAGCTCCCAGGATGTCTCCAGTGAACCCAGCAGTGAGCAGCAGCCATGCGCCCTGAGGGAACACCCCACCGTGGCCTTTGCAGGTGAGAGCCATTTCCCACTCAGTCTTTTTTGCAATGAACATGTACTGAAGGACTTAGGTAGGACCGCAGGTGGGTTCCTTTGGCTGTTGGCAGTCCTGGGATGATCATTTCCTGTAAGGTACAGAGACTCTTGTTCTGGGGATAGATCTCAGACAGACGGCAGCCGTGGGCTGGAGGGGTCTGATTTTAGTTTCCAGACAGTGCATCTAGATCCTTTGTCCGTGTTTACTTGGGGAGGAAGGGTCTTTCTTTGGGATTCCTTTGCTAGAGAATCAGATGTGGACGCCCTGGGTGGGCTGGCCAAGGGTAAATTGGTTGTCTCAGCTCTAGCTCTTCTGGAAGCATGAGCTCTATTTGTTGGCTTCCAATTGGGGGGAAGAATGAAGATGACTCACTTGTTAGAAGTGCCTAGTGATCTCTGGAAATATTCCTTCTGCTCTAAGACGGCTGTAGGGATGCCTGTTTTGGGGGTCTTGGTAGCCCCCAGGGAAAGGGACCCTGATAACTAATAACTCCTTCTGTCTGTCAAGGGAGGTCAGAAGAGTGTCTTACTAAAGTGTTTCCCAAACTGGGATTTGTGAATTACTGGACATATTCTGAAGGGCCCATAAGTTCTTAATAAGAATTTCTAAAATTATTAAATGCATTTGATGATAATCTAAAAGGAAAACAAAACACAAATACTGGAACTTCCTGGATGTTCTCCCATGATCTGTTAGCCCGTCTGGGGGTCCCTGATGATGTTACGATCACATCAACACTTCAGGATCCATTGCCTATGTGGCAGCTCACACTGGCATTTACAAATGTAGTCTCAGGGGTCCCCAGGTTCTTGAGTTTGATAAACATCTGTCCTATTTCCCTTTCATAATAACCCTGGGGGGAGAGACAGGACAAAGCTATCACCTTCTTTTACAAATGGGGGTGGGGCTGAGGTTGGAGAAATGCGTCAGAGCCTCCTGACTCACTCCCCATGACAGACTGATCAGGTGTCCTAGGCAGGAGGCTGTCCATTCTGTCCTCTGGGATTCCCACAGACTGTCAAGAGGGTCAAGACGGAAACCAGAGTGGGAAAATAAATCCATGAGTTTGAAGCTGGCATGAGATTTGGGGGCCAAGGGGAGCTGGTATGAATAGGAGTTGGGGGCTGTGAGGTAGGCGACTTAGGGTGTTTAGAAGTGTGAAATTCCCAGCTGTGGGCTGTCTCCTGTCTCCTGTCTCAGAGGGGAGGGTTTCTACCTGTTTTCTCTGTGCTGATTTGTTTCAGCTGAAAGTCAGTCTTTGAAGGCTTAAGTGGATTAAAGTAAATTAGCAATGTCTTTAAGCCTACAAAACGTGTGGTGTACACCCTCAGACTCCTGATGGCTCCTTAGGTGCCGATGGTGGTTGTCACTGAAGGGAAGGACCAAGCAGGGGACAGAGGAGCTGGGTTTTGAGTGCCGAGGGCTATCCTTACATCGGGGGCCACTGTGGCAGCTCCTAATGAAATATTTCATGGGATTTGCCCAAAACATTATTGGCCTGGCTGATTCTGGGGACAAGGACGATGGAAGGAGAACTGGGGAATCTGTTCTCCTGTCAGGCTGGTCCATATCGGTGTAAATTGGGAGGCGGGTCAATGGGCGGAGATGTAGGAGATGTGTTCCTTGGGTGCCTAGCTTTCTTGACATTATTTTTGATCTTCACATGTAAATTACTTGAATGAAACTGACTTGCCACCCACCACCCTTCAGAATGAAGAAATGAGGCTCAGGTTAACATAGGTGATTGACATAAGGTCGCCAAGGAATACCTGTAGTCCTGGGCAAGCGGAGATGGTCGGTCATCCTAGACTGACTGCCCTGGAGAGTGGCGTCATCTCTGACTTTCCTGCCCAGCCTCCTGGCCTCCAGCAACTCACCTCCTTCCCCATTCTGATGCCCTGGGTTTTCTTATTCATTTGCCAAATTTTTATTGGGCCCTGCTTGACGCCAAGCACGAAGCTGGACACTGCGGGGGCTCAGAGGTGAATAAGTTTCTTTTGAGTACTTGAGTATCTCTTATTGTTCCTTAAAAGTCGCTCCCTTTGGCCCCCAGCACAGTTGGTCCTGGACCAGGACCAGTTCCCTGGTCTCTCCACACCCTTTAGTGCCACTGAGCACACACTAGGGACTCTATTCATTTTGGACGATTGACTATGTTCTGTGTTCCGGAGAAGTTGCCATAATCCAGCCCAGCACCACTCCCTACCTTCTAGGTTCCCCTCATGTGTTACACCTTATTTCTGACCGATCTGTAGGTTTACAACCCTGTAGCTATGAGTTTTTGTCTCCCCCAACATCTGACTGATCTAAGTATCCTAGAGGAGCCGCCAGTTGCAGAATCTGACATTTTCCTGTTTCGTAAGGTTAAATTTTCTGCTAGGGGTTTCTTTTCAGTGGGATCCTCCTGTGTTTCTCTTTGGCCTGCACGTTATTCCTTTCGCCACAGCATGGCCTTTCTAGGCAGCAGGTAGACACCTGGAAATATGGAGTTAATACTGACAGTGGTTAATCCACAAAGTGGGTAATTGAATCGACTATACATAATTAAAATCACAGCCGCGTCATGGAGAATGTCATTTTTCTCTTAAAGATGCCGTCCAAAGCCTTCGCTGCACACGGAGCTCAGAACGTGCTTGGTGTTTTAAAGACAGCCTTCCCTCTGGTCCTCTTTGCCTATTTAATCAGAGGAAGCTGGCTCCCTTCCCAAGACAGTTCCCTCAGGATCACTGGGCTGCACATCTCTCCCTTCTCTCCCTTTCCCTTTTGCCCACGTTGGTCCCTTCCACGGTAGGGGAGAGGGACAGAAACCGGAAGGGGCCGCTACCCTCCACTCCCCCACCCCCACCTCCCTACTGTCATCCCAGCTCCTGTTCCCTCTCCTTCTCCCCTCCTCCCCGAAGAAGGGCCTGAGTGAAGACGGAGCTGAGAAGTCCCCCAGACGGAGTTCTCCTGGTTAGCCGCAGACCAGTCACCTCTTCCCCTGTTCGGCTGCCCACATCTGGAATACCTCTGTTGGAAGGGAAGAAGGGAATTAAAGTGTGACGCCGTTGCTACTGTTGGGGAGCACACAGTCTAATGGGGACAAGCAAGCCCCTCACATTCCCTCTCCGCCCCCCACAGAAAATACACTTGCACACATGTGGAGTGACAACAATATACAATGTGAATGGAACAGAAGGGGTAGAGAGAATGTGGAACAAAACATCAGTTGGAGAGGTCATAACCCAAGAAAGCTTCCTGGAGGAAGAGGACCTTTGGCTGGCTTAGTTTCTAAGGTTGTATAATATCCTACCAGGATTTCTGAGGGTGGCTCTGAGGTCAGCTAATAACCCAGGCTACCTGACTCCAGATCTACTCCTTATACTGGTATTGCCCAAATGTCATTGCAACTACGTGACAATTGTTGCCAACCCATAGTCACCTGCTGGGGGCAGAGGCACCCCCAAGGGGTTCGCTTCATTTTGCTGCAGAATTTCTTTCTTCTTTTTCTTTTTAATTGTGCATATTACAGTTTTCTGAAAACCATCCAACTCACAAAACCTCCAGTTCTCTAGCGAGCGATTAAGTGTTTGCCTGTCGTGCAGAAATGAAGGGGTGCTTTTACTCTGCAGTAGAGGGATAATGAGCAATGATTTATTTCCTTTGGATTACACACACACACACACACACATACACACACACACACACTCCTCTGGGCCTTTCTGTGAGTCAGTTGCTAATGCACTATGCAGAAAGGCACAGGGCCTCACAGTCCCCCTCATCTTCACCCCCATTAGCATGGATATTCCTCTACCTGAGGCTCTTTCATTACTGGTCAGTTCCCTCCCATCCATGAGCCATCTGTGAGAGAGAGCCATTAAAGGGCTGTGCATCAAGATGCAGGGAGTGGGTCTCCAGAGGGAGAGAAAAAGGAAAGTGGGCTGGGTACTGTTCCCCAGGCATATTCTCCCCAGACCACTGCTGACCCATCCAGAGGGCTGCGAGCTCTCCTCTCTGCCCACCCAATGCCCATGAGAGGCTTTGGCCTTGGCTGGGAAGATCCTTCCTTGCAGACAGGGAGAGACACTGACCACTCACCCTCCCTGGAGCCTTGTCTGATAACCTGGTTCTTTCTGTACAGAAGGGGGATGAGGGTTCTATATTCATTCAAATACTTCCAGGTGCTGGGCCAGGCCCGGAGATCCAAGAAGCAAGATCTTCCCTGGCCCCCAGGGCAAACCACTAGTATAGACACCCAGTGTGATGGGGGCTTTTATGGCAGTAGGGCAGATGTCTGTGGGAGCCCTTCCCCCTGGCTTGGGAAGTCAGGGAAGGCTTCCTAGAGGAGGCAGGGTGGGGATGGGGTGAACAGGAACTTCCACTGAGGGAGAACAGAAGTGTAAAAGTTTGCAGGCTCTTGTAGAATAGATCTGGAGAAGTGCACAGTGGTCTAGTTTAGTGGGGCCAGGGTGGAGAGTCTCAGGGGGATGTAAAAGTTGAAGCATCATTCTTTCTATGGGTCACTAAGTAATTAATGTTCCAGGCATATGACTTGGGAGGACAGTTGGGTCGCAACCCGAAGGCCTTCGCAGGAGTTAAGACATTTCCTTTTAAAAAGCTCTAAGCTGGAGAGTAACATAAACAGGTTTGCATTTTAGAAAGATCACTCTGGTTGCCTTGTGGGAAATGAACTGGAGGGGCAGGAGTGGAAGCCAGGCCAGTTAGGGGGCTGTTGGCACCATTCCAGGCAAGAGATGCTGGTGGCTTGGATGGGCGGGCGATGGGGTGTAGAGGGCAAGATGGATGGATTTCAGAGACGGTTGCAGAGCAGACAGGATTTGCCAGTGTGTTTGATGCAGCCGGTGAGGGGCTGAGGGAGCCAAGGGTGATTACAGGTCTCCCTCGGAGCAGCTGGGAGCACGTATGGCCCCTCTCTGAGGTAGGGAGCACAGCAAGAACAGTGACAACACCCCCTAGTTGGCTGCCCACAGGTCTCACTGCACCCTGACTTCACCCTAACTGCAGCCCTTCCATTCTCCTGCCCCATGCTGGTGGTGCAGCAGGGAGCTCCTGGTTCAACAGTAACTGGATGTCTGCCTCTCCCTCCTCCAGACCTGAAGCCCTGGGTCTCTAACTTCACCTATCCTGGAGCCCGAGATTTCTCCCAGCTCGCTCTGGATCCCTCCAGGAACCAGCTCATCGTGGGAGCCAGGTAATGAGGCACAGGCGGGTCTGGGCCAGAAGTGCAGGTGCCTAGAATGGAGTGCAGAATATTATCTGAGATGTGGCTACTGTGGGCATTCTCACAACCTGGGCCCCTGTTCCTCCCTGCCAGGCCTTCTCTGTATCTGAATGCCTGTTCCCCACAGATATTCTAGACCTCCGGACCTCCGGACCTCCGGACCTCTGGATCTCAGCAAGCCAGTACCTATCTGGCATCCTCCCTGGGAGCTCTGTGTAGGAAAGGTGCTCAGGAGCCCCCTACTGGCCATCTGGCCACCTGCAGCTGCAACCGGATGCAGGCGATGGGCTTCTTTGCAGGACCTCACTTCCTTGTTTGTTACCTGACCTCTTTTAGCCCCACTGTCCAAGTCTGGCATCCAAAGGATAATATGTTCTAGGGAGGACTTGTGGGGACTTTATGGGGTGGAGTAGGAGGAGATAATTCTCACAAAATCATAGACCATCAGCTCTGGTAGGGAAGGGAGTTTAGAGATGGTTGACTTCAGTGGGTCTCAAAGAATGGTCCCTGGACCAGCAGCACCAGCAGCACCTGGAAACTTGTTAGAAATGCAAGTCTTTGAGCTCCATCCCAGACCTGCTGAATCAGAAGCTCGGGGTGGGCCCAGCAAGCTGCATTTCAGCAGCCCCTCCAGGTGAGTCTTAGGTTTGAGAATCGCTGGTCTGATCCAACTGCCTTAATTTAAACATGGAGGCAGAGGGCTGGATAGGGGAAGGTGAACATCTCAAGATCACATAGAAAGATGACAACAGGTATGAGGACTAGAACTCAGGTTTCCTAAGCCCAGGACTAGTTTGTTCTGCCAGTCCATGTTATCACCTCCTACTGCAGTGGTGTTTTTCAGATGCTCCCAACCCCAGAGCTTCTGATTCTGCTGGCCTGGGGGTGGGGGAGGGTGACCACTAGATTTGGCACCTCCCGGTTTCACTAGATAGCTGATCATCCTTGACCTCTGGGCTTTCCTGAGTGTCCCTACCCACTCATTTGTGGTATGAAAAGAAGGGAAGTCAAGGACAGAGCTCTGGACTAGGGCCAGATGAGCTTGATTTTTGTCTCAGGTGATCTTCATCTTTGACTTTCCTCATCTGTAAGGACTGGATTACAGTCTCTAGGCTACAAACCTCACAAGGCTATGACGAAGCTGGACTGAAAGCATTTTATTACTTTTTTAATTTTTATATTAACTAGTTATATGTGTTATGGTATAACACTCAGAAGGTATACAGTGAAAAGCAGGGCCACCGCTTCACACTCGAAGCAAGACCCTTCCTTGGAGGCTCGCCGTGTGACGAGTTTGTGTGTCCTCCCAGAGGTAACTTGTACATATGAAGGTCGGCAAGAATATGGACTTAATTTTTCCAGCTAAGAGACGAAGTGTTTTACTTTGTATTTTGAAATAATCATAGATTTACATGTAGTTGTAAGAAATAATACAGTGAGATCCAATCCATATACCCTCGACCCAGGTTCCCCCAATGATAACATCTTGCATAACAATAGTACAAAATTACAATCAGGAAGCTAATATTGGTAAGATCCTTCTCCCTTATTCAGATTCCACCTGCTTTGCGCATGTTGTTTTAAAAATCCTGATGCCTCCTTCTGAACTTGTGGAAGCATTTCAAAAGCTGCCATTCATTCTGCGTTTGCCATGTGCCAGGCACCGTTTTATGTACCCTGTATGTAGCAAAGCATCTAAAACATGTAGTCAATCAGGCAGGTAACAAATCATCTAATCTTCACAAAAACCTCCAGAAACTGGGTTCTGTGAGTCCATTGTATGGACAAGGAAACTGATACCCGGAAGGGGAGATTTTCTGCCTGTGGTCACACTGCTCTTTCTGACCCATTCTGGGGCTTCCCCCACACAGGTAGAGACACATCTTTTGCTGGGTACTTAATCCTGGCTATGCCCCCAGGGAACAGGGGGGAAATCAGTCCTGGACTTGGCCCCTTGCACCTCTTGGAGCAAATGAAGTGGGTCCTCAATTTTTTCTCTCTTTTCTTCTCTAGGTCACTTTCTTTCCTCCTTCTCTTCTGCCGGCCAGATTTTCCCCTTTTTTTCTGACCTCCTGGGCCTCTGGAATTCAGGACAGGGGACATTTTTTTATTCCTTTGTACCCCGCCTTGTTCCATAAGGGATTAGGGCGGTTCAGGCTACAGAGATTTTTCTCTGTTATCATCTCCCAGAAGAGCAGACTGAGATGTTGTGATGAATGATTTTTGATGGGATAAAAATGAATAAAGTGATGCAATGTTTCCCCTAATTTTTTAAAGCTGTGAGCAGATGCTTGTGTTACCTGAGCAGACAGCTGGGGCAGAGCCATCAGCGGGATCCCATCTGTCTCTTGGCCAGGAAGGTGGGGGTAGGGAAGCTCTTCGGAGCAAGAGTCTGGGGAGGGACAGCAGAAGCCTGGAGCCAAGGTCATTCCGTGAGGTCCACCAGGAGAGCAAAGAAGCTGAGTGGGGCCTGGGCCTGGAGCCCGAGCTGGAGAATAGGAGTCTCCAGCCTGAGATGTCTCCTTCAGGCCCCTGGATTCATTCAGCAGGGCCCCTCCTTCTTCTTCTGGCCCATTCCACAACCTTTCCCCTCGTTTCTCTTCTCAGCACAGCTGAGGTAGGCCAGAACTTTCTAAAGCAATTATTCCTGAAAACTTCAGGAATGAGTAGAGGAATGACCCAAGGAAGATGTAAGAAGGAAAGAAAACTCTTTGGGAAAACCCAAATTTTACATCTGCTTGGCATTAATGAAGCATTTTAACATGCATCACATTATTCCCCTGTCTCCACGGCCCTGGGAAATAAGAAAGACAGGCACATCCACTTTATAGATGGAGACTCGGAGCTGCTCAGAAGGCCCCTAGCAAATGGCTGAACTGGAATTCATTCTCCCTTCTCTGGGAGAGTCACAAGGTCTACTCTGTGATCCTGCAGTCACTTTCGTGTGGCACTCTGACTGGTGGTTCTGCCACCCTCGAGTCCCAGCATAGTGGCCTTGTGGCTCCAGAGTCCAGGCAAAGCAATTCCAGCAGTGCCCGCCACTGTGAGTGCTCAACAAGCGACTGATAGTAGTAGTAGTGGTGAGAGTATTGTCGTTATTATTTAAGGGTTTTTAAAATTCAGACTTTATTTGTTTAGAGCGGTTTTAGGTTCACAGCGAAACTGATGGGAAGGTACAGAGAATTCCCATATACCTGCCACCCCACACGTGTCGTCTACCCCACCGTTAACATCCCCCACCAGAGTGGTGCATTTATTACAATTGATGAACCTGCTCTGACACGTCATCATCACCCAAAGTCCATAACTTTCGTTATGGTTCGCTCTTGGTGGTGTGCATCCTATGGGTTTGGACAAATTTATAATGACATGTACCCCTTATTATGGCATCATACAGAGTATTTTCACTGCCTTGAAAATCCTCTGTGTTCTGCCTTTTCATCCATTCCCTCCTACCACCAACCCCTGGCAACTACCGCTCCAGTTTAACTGTCTCCATAGTTTTGTCTTTTCCAGAATATCATATAGTTGGAATCATACAATATGTAGCCCTTTCAGATTGCCTTCTTTTTCTGAGTAATATGCATTTAAGATCCCTCTAATGTCATGGCTTGACAGCTCATTTCCTTTTAACACTCAATAATGTTCCATTGTCTGGATGGACCACAGTTTATTTATCTAGTCACCTACGGAAGGACATCTTGGCTGCTTCCAAGTTTTGGCAATTACTGAATAAAGCTGCTATAAACATCCATATGCAGGTTTTTGTGTGGACATAAGTTTCCTTATTTAAGATTTCTGAGCAACAGGCTGATATGATGAAAACGGTACTTGAGGAATTTGAGTCTGGCAGCCCTGTACTGGCTGGGCTCTGGGGAAGAGGAATCGCGAGGTGGCAGAGGGGTCAATTTGGGCAAGAGAAGACGCGTGGTCCAGGGAGGTGGACAGGTATCCAGAGTCACTGACTATAGGTAGGAATGAAGGACTTAAGGAAGCACACAGGACTTCAGGGGCCCACAGCATGGGGCCAAGAGATGGCTGGCCTTTATGAGGAAGGGAATGGGTCAGGAAGGTGGGTGAGGGCAGGAGGAAGATGGCCTGTCTGGGTTTCTGCAAGAGCTCCAAGAGACTTTAAGTTTCACAGAAACAGTTTCCACGGTTAGAAAAGGTGGTGGGGGTTCCTCCCTGGGCCTGCCAGGATGGCCAGGAAGCAGAGACAGTGTGGGCTACAGGAGTAGACAAGTCTGGGTTTTAATCCCTCCACTTACACTCTCTGGGTTTTAACTCTTTCACTTAGTATCTCTGTGACTTGGGCCATTTACCCAAACTGTTTCCTTATCTGCACAATGGAGTTTTCTCTCTCTACTTCTGGGGTTGCTGTGAAGATTAAGTGAGCTAACAGAGGTAAAGCTCTCCCTGGGGGTCAACCCACTGTAGGCACGCTGCAGTCGGCACTCGGTCCTGGCACCCCGTGAGGCAGGAGCCAAGAAACTGCTTCCTGGGGAACTGCCTGCAGAACCGGCTTGACTTATGACTTCCATTTTTGTTTTCACAGGAACTACCTCTTCCGACTCAGCCTTGCCAATGTCTCCCTCCTTCAGGTACATTTGTTTCCCTTCCCAGTAATTTCCCTGGTATTTGGGGAAATTACGTAGCCAGGGCAGCATAAGGAGCAAGATCTGGAATTCACTCCCTAGAGTTGAAAACAGGAGCCCCAGCCTCTTTTCAGAGGCCGTGGACCCTCACTGGTTATTGAGGTTACCGGTGGGAAGACACTTGGAAGTGGGAGTGTGGCCACATCAACATGGAGGCACATACAGGGCTCCCACATTATGCAAAAGAGCTGCCAAGGAAGAGAGGAAAAGAGCGCCAGAGTTAGTGCGACCAGTTGTCCCTGTCTGCCTAGGCCTGAGGGGTCTCAGGATGCAGGACTTCCAGTGCTAAAACTGGGACAGTACTGGGCAAACTAGAGTGGCTGGTCATTCTGAGACCAGAACCTCAGTCAATAGGAAGGTCTCTGAGTTCGGGCCTTAAGGGATGATAGGGTGTCCCTATTGCTTTCCTAGCCTGGCTGAGTGATCCCCTTCTAACTCAGCATTTTCACTGAGCTGTGATTGATGTATCTGCTGCCAGAGAGACTCACCAAGCATGATTCCCTAAATGCTCTGGGAGGCATTCTAATGGGACTCTTTGATCCAGAACGTTTATCCCAGATTGAGAAACAGATGCTAAACCATCTCTGCAGAGGCTGAACAGTCCATAGAAAGGAAGGCCATCTTTTCTTCTTCAGTGAGGGCAGAGCCTCAGTCCTCATGTCTGGGAGGCTTGTTGGTCTCCCAGTGATCAGGCGTTCATTGAGCACTCATTGTGTATCTGAACTGAACTGGGGGCAGAGGGGCGATAACACAAGCAGAATGTTCAACCTGCAAGGCTCACAGTGTAGCCAGGAAGAGATGATGAGTGATACGTATAACTAACTAGAGAACCATACAAGGAGTTAGTCAGATGCTGGGTTATTCGGCACAGGCTTTCACTGTGAAGGGTAGTTGGGAAAGCTGGGGTGCCATTCTAGTCTGGTTCCTTCTAGTCTCACCTGGGTCTATACCCCAGGGCCCATTGCAGCCAGTTTCCAGAGGGGAGGTTCAAGGGAGCAGAAAAAGTGTGCCCATCGGAAAGAACTAGAATAAATTGAAAGAAAATGTGATTCATTCATTTATCAGTCTGTCTATCCCTCTGTCCATACACTTACCGGCCAGCCACCCATTCATACATTCAACCAGCCCCTAATAAACATTTGCTGAATACCTGCTAAAGCCCAGGTCCAGTCCCAGGCATGGCACGAGGCGTCTGAGATCCAAAAGTGAATCAGGCTCTGTCCTTTGCTTCAAGGAATAAGCACATAAGAGATCGCAAATGATTTCCTTTTCTGGACGGGACCCGTGTGGTATGTTCCTGGGGCCTGGGCTAGAGCAAGGCAGAGGAAATCCCCAGAGGAAATCTGATGGCCTGCCAGTTCGGTCACAAACAGCCTGTTCAGAGACTATAGAAATGAAACCAAGAAGCCAAACCCAGCAGATCAGGGTCTGTCTGGGAAAGCGTGTGCAGAGGCGATTCAAAGTGGGTGGGAGAAAGTGGATCCAGGGATTCTGTCCTGAGCTCAAGCAGCTGGCTTTTTATTAGGTTCCCGTGGTCTGCTAAAGAAGGCCTTCTGGGAGCAGCAAAGGGTCCAAAAAGGGATAGCAAGACAGAAGCAGAAATAATGGCAGTGCTATGGGAAACATGCATGCAGACCCAGAAGCACATTAGGCTCAGCACGGTCTGCAAAGCTTCCCAGAAGTCCTTGGGCTTGAGCTTAAAGGTTGGGGGTTGGCCAGGCAGGTAAGGTAGAGACACAGATGTGTAAAATAGCATGGAGCACCAAGCGGCCCAGTGTAGAGGAAACGAGGTGTGAGTGGGATGAGGGTGAGAGACGAGGCGAAGGAGAGAGAGAGGCCACGTTGTAGAGGGTCTTCTTGCTGACAGAGGGCTCCATGTTTTATTCTGAAGGCTGTGGGGGCTCCTTAAAGGGTTTTAAGCAGGGAAGTGGCATGAACAGATTTGGTGTTTAGATCACCTTGCCCAGTGCAGAGAATGGATTGTTGGAGAAGCCAGTTAGGAGACAACTGTAATATCTAGGCTAGTGATGGCGAGACTTGAACTAAGGCAGTGGTCTGGGGATGGAGAGAAAAGAGAGGAAGAGGTCTTCAGGTGGCAGAATCACACAGGGTCACTGTACAACACAGCTCCATGGAGCACCAAGCACACTCTCTTCTGCATGAAAATGACCCCTGGAGTTGGGGAGGCTGGCAGCTCTGGAGGGTTTAGGCACAATAGTGTGATCCAGGTTTCTGGCTTGCATAGTTGGGTAGCACAGATCAGGATGGGAATCGAGTTAGCCCGATTCTAGAAAGTGCTTCTCCCTTGGCTGCCTACTAGGATCATCAGGGGACCTTTGAAAAACACTGATGCCTAGGTCCCACCTTCAGAGATTCTGACTTAATTGGTCTCTGGTCCAGCTGGGCACTGGGATTTTTAAAAGCTCCCTGGTGGTTTCCAGCGTGCACCCAAATTTAGGAACCTCTGCTCTTGATTGTCAAGAGGGCCTTTTCTACAGATGCTGCCCAATTGGCGTCCTTGACAGTTGGCCCACAGGTGCTTATCAGATGATAAGACTCATCAGCTTGATGAGAGGCCTGGTGTGTTCGGTTCATCCAGCTCCATGCTGATCTGGTTTCAGCCATGGGAAGGTATCTTATGTGAGCCCCATAACTTGGGGCAGGGGCTCCACTTCAAGGGGTTCTCTGAAGGGCTCTGCAAACCAGCCACAGTGCACCAGGAATTGGTTTGACTCTCCCAGGGTATCTCTCTGGGGCCTGACCTCTGGAGTTCAGACTGAATTCTTTGTAACAGAACTAAGGAGAGAAATACATTGCATGTCCACATCCACACCAAAGTAGGTACCATCTGGCCACAGAGGGGAAAGACTGAGAGAGAAGTTGAAGTAGGCTGTCCAGCATTCCCTCGACTAGGCTGGTGGCAGACCTCAGCCTCTGGTCCCCTAGTCTGTTGTCAGGCCTGGTGAGAATGTCCTCACTTTTGACGGTAAAAGCCCAACTTCATTTAGCAATTGCTCTATCTGGGGCTTCGGGTCCTTTCAGTCTTCAACATCTGCTATCACAAGTGGCTCATAGCAAACGGAGTAGCAAATGGAGTTTAAATGAGCTGCACCAGTTTGCCAATGGAGGACCATCCCCCCCACCACCACCACCCCAGCTCAGCTGCCTTTACTCTCCACACTGCCTGGGGGCAGGCTCAGTGTCACTCTCCATTACAGCTGGCTGATGTTCCACTGATCCTCCCACATGGCCCCAGGGTATGATTTAACTAAACTTAAAAACTCAGTGCTTTATTGATAGTTTAAATAATTAACATCTCTCAAAGAAAAATCTAAATGCAAACAGTTATGAAAACCTATATCCATTAAAAGGACTTCTAAGTACCTAACCCTTATTAAATAATTTATGTAAACTATGATCCTTATGGAAAATCAAAATACCCAGCCTCCTCAGTTCTTGAAGCCCCTAAGGGAAAGGAATTGCAGGTAGCAGCACTGGGTTGGGGTTGGGGTGTGGGTGGGGTAGGATGTGTACACACACACACACACACACACACACGAATGGGGAGGGGAAATCAAATCAGCTCACCTGTGATGTTTATTTATCAACGTAACTGAATAAACTGGTTTTGGGAAAGAAAAGGTGGCAAGTGGTCAACGGTGTCAGGGGGCTATGTAATGAGCTAACTTGGATCTGGCAATTAGGAGCTGGTGAGCAGCCAGGGGGTGACGTGGCTGGAGGCCTAACTGCAATGGATTTATGATCTCGGGCTGCCAGATGTCCAGAAAGTGCAGAAATGGGGGCAGTTGTGCACATATGCAGCAGAATGCACATGGGGCTTTGTCTGAACCTGGGCAGACGCTGAGGGTGATTCTGAGCTCTCTTCTAGTTGTGGCCACATTCTCCAAGTTAGTCTGGCAGTTCTGGAGTTGTCTGAAATCTGAACTCTGCTAAGCGGTGGACTTAATGCTCAGAAGATGTTTTAATGTTCAGCCATCGTCTCTGATATCTAAGGTTATTGCTGAGTCTACAAGGAGATTATGCGGTTCCTGGCTGTCTACCTGCTTTCTTCCACAGCCAAAAACCACACAGTTACTCTGTTACTAGACTTTGCCCGCCTGGAATTTCTGGGACAGTCCTAGTGTAAAGCATTACATGTGGCAGATTGATCATACATGTCTATCTCCACTCCTTCACAAAACCCTGCTAAAAGGACAGTGAGAAATATTAAATGGTACAGATGCACAATGACAAGAGAGAACAAAAGAGACATCAATGAAGAAAAGATTAAATATATTCTGGGGAGATAGAGAGGGGATAGAACCATTAACTACTTCAGCAAAGCAAAATAGTTTACAGAGGGGGATATGACAGAGAAGCAAGCAGACCCCCAGATGGCTCCTAAATTGAGGTGTTGGGGGGCATTATGGAACGTGAGGATGAGGTACAATGCTAAAAGGGGGAAATGGTTGAAATTCTCTAAATTGAGAAGTTAGAACCCAGGTCTCCTGTCCCATCCCACACAGTGATCCCTTTCTCCATTTTACCCCTCCTCCAACAAAGGGAGACTAAGACCTTGTCTTTAAAAACCCAACAGGCGAGGCTCCAGATTTGGAAAGTACAGGAAAGATGGGGGCACTGATGGGGTCTGGGCTAGAAAAATGTTTCTCCTCCTTCTTTCTCTGTGCAATTTATTTATGGAAGAAATCTGGTTACTTGTCTTACAGAGTTTCCCACAGTCTAGATTTTGCTGATTGCAAGTCAAGTGGTATAACTTAACATTTTCCTCTATTCTCTGTATCATCTGTAAATTGATTGTTAGAGCTAAAGACTTTATTTAGTTTAGATTCCAGCAAGATTACTTCATAAGTGTTATTGTATACTTTTTAATGGAGGTACATACTATCTGATTTTCTGTTTTGTTTTGTTTTTTGGTGGTGGGGGGGAGGTAGTTAGCAGCCATTGATGATTGTTTCTCAGATTATTAATTCTTTAGGTGTTACAATGTATTAGCTGGACTACTCCTGCAAAGAGAAACTGCTCATCCACTATTTGGTTACCCAATGATACAGTCACATAGGAAAGGCAGGATAAATGTTTGATACTCAGTTTTCAAATAATGAGCTAGTTTGTTAGTATCTATCAATGGTGACCAATTAATTTTATTCTTTTATTATTTTTATTATTATAGACTTAGGGCTTTAAAACATTGTTATTATCTATCATTGCGGTTATCTTTTATGACTACCCATCTTTTGCCCATCGGGGTCTTCTTCAAGTTGGTTCCTGGGTGCTTTGACTTGATGACACTAATCACCTTGGATTATATCCTTGCTATTTTGTGTAAGGAAATGTTTCAGGCCTACCTTGTACTTTCCTAACGCCAGACCTGGAATCAACCATTTCTCTAAGAAGTCTTGGTTCCTTTTAGTGTGAAATGGTTAGTGATTTATTTTCAAATATAAACAAGGAGCCCCAAATCATCAGACATTCGAGGAAGGCCTAAAAAGTGGAAGACAAAGATCAAAACAAACAAACAGAATGAAGGCAGCTGTAAGGAACAGGGATGATGCAAGAAATAAAAGAAAACATTTAAAAAAATTAATTAGAAAAAACTAACTAGACTCTCCGGAGATATAAAAATATTTTTTATTTATAAAACAATAAATTAAAATTATGGAAATTAAAAATGTGACTGGGGAAATACATTTTGAATTTAAGAGATAAAGTTGAAGAAAACTCTCCCGGAAACTAGAACAACAACAACAAAAACAAGACATGGAAAAAAGAGAGAAATAACAGAAAATGAGAGGATCAGTGCACAAGGGCTAATGGTATATTGGATTAATAAGAGTTGCAAAAAAGAAAACAGAGGAAAAGGTGAGGAAGAAATTAATGACAAAATAACATAAGAAAATTTGCCAAAACAGAGGATGAGTCTTCACCCTGAAAGAGCTGACCGAGTTCCCAAAAGAGACCTTCACTGAGGCATGTCAGTGTCAAATTCAGGCTTCTGTTATTAAAGAGAAGACCCTAAAAGCTTCTAGGGCCTAAAGAAAAAAGAAGAAGAAAATGGTCACTACAAAAGATGAGGAATAAGAATTTTATCAGACTTCTGAATAGCAACACTGGAATCTAGAAGACAATGGAGTTGAATAAATGCCTTTAAAATCCTGAGTGAAAATTATTTTCATCCTAGAATTCTCTATCAAAACTGTCAATCAAGTATGAAGATAGAATGAACCAGAGATGCAAGAATTTTTAAAAATTGATCTACCATATTCCTTTTCATAGGAAGATACTGGAGATGTGTTCCACCAAAATAAACAAATAAATCAAGAAAGGAGGAATCATGAGAATCAGCGAGTAAAGGAGAGAAGATAAGTCCCAGGTTAATGGACAACTAGGAGGCCTCAAGGGCAACCAGTCCATACTGAGGCAGGAGGAAGAGGATGAGAACTCATATATTATCTGAACCATTTGTATGCATATTTAGCAAATGATATCGAGAGGGATTTGTAACACCTGTTGGGCATTTGGGGAAAAATTAGTAATTTGAATTACAAAACAATTAAATGAAGAAAATCAAGACGATTATTCAGTTCAGGAAAACCCAAGAGTTGATCAAGAAAGGAAACCTTCTCAGAAGAGGCATATTTCCTTGATTTTAGATGCACATGTTTTCACACTTTTAATGAGTCTGAAATGAGGCCATTTCTTTCTATTGAAGGCATCTTATAGTCTCTGTCAGCCAGACTGCTGTTTTGATGGAGTTGTCATTGCCTATGCTTGAACTCGGTCATTATTCCTGGTGTTTTGATTCTACAACACCAACCAGTTGACATTTGAGTCTACAAACCATTTTAGGATCATATGTGGAAGAAATAGGGTTCCTGGGTTGTCAGAATATCTTCTGGGAATACCTTCTGATAAGATAAAGAAAGTGCCAGCATCCGAACTTGCAGAATGGGGTCGATAGCTTGGAAGACAATTCTGGAGACCAGAGTGGAATACTATTTAAGAATTGCTATATCACTTACACTCTGGGTGGTTCAAAAAATGATGCTCTAAAACAAGCAAACAAATGACGACAACAACAACAAAAATGAGCACTGAAAACTGAATAGAAGAGTGATTCAGAAGAGATGAACTATGAGTTCGAAGAAGGTTTAAGGATACTTAATTTTGCTTACATTTTTCTTCTTTGTATGCATAAGGCTGGTATATGATAAAAAATATATGTCTGAGTAAAAATACTGTCAATAAATTTACATTAAAATTTTAAGTAATGAAAGAGTTTGGCAGCATACATTCTTCCTTAGTGGTGATTCACATTATAATCAATGGTGTCTTACATTCAGTGAAATCTAGGGGATTAGTCGTTAGCAGAGAACAATTTTTACATATTCATATTGATGTTGATTTTAAAGTATTAGTTTAAGTTAAATTAATTTAAAATCTATCATATTAAAAGATTAAATAATTAATGTTACATAATTATAATGGGAAGACGAGGAGAGGGGAAATGTCTGTGTGCTTTGAGGGAGAGGAGAATAGAGTTGGGTATGTGGGAAAAAATTTTTACCTCTCTAACCGAAAGTCAGAAGATAAAAGTCTGAGATGGATACATAATTTTGCGAAATTGGAAGAAAAACACAGACACAGAGAAACAACTAAAAGAGTTGAAAGTAGTCGTCGTTGGGAAATAGGGTTGGGGTGTGAGAGGAGTAGGTTGCGGGATTTAAAAAAAAATTTTTTTCATACTATTTAACTTTTTCAACTCTGTGCATCATTACTTAGATAAATATAATTTTTTAAATAAAATAAAAATAAAATGACTCAAGCTCATTCTGTGCCGTTATCATTATAAATATACATATTCTTTTCAGGCCATATGTTCTAGCTTTCGGTTTGAGAAATCTATTCACTGCGAGAGGCTGCAGGATGCAGTACAGAAAGCTGAGCTCTGGTGTCGTTTGTCTGGGTTTTCATCTTGAGTTTGCATCTTGGGTTTGTTGCTTACTGGCTTTTTGACCTTGGACATATTGCTCAACTTCTCTGAGCTTCATTTTCCTCACTCGTAAAATGAGCAAAAGGCTATGTTTCACTGGCTGTGGTGAGGACAGAAGGTGTGTCAAGTTCCTGGCATAATGCCTGTCCCAGGGTTAGCCCAGTGTAACTTTATCTGACTCCTTTTGATTATACGTACCTGCCCCCGCAGTGGGATTCCCACTCCCTTAGGGACAAGGCCAACTATTTCAAAGTGCCCTTGTGCTCAGAGACCCCAAGGCTCCAGTGAGGCCCTTGACCCACACGTTCCCCGCGAAGCCACCCACTGTGTGGAGCTTTAGGCCTGGACATCTGCAGTGTTTGTTGTCATTGCTCTTTTCTGCTCCCTAGCACTCTGAGGTTTTTTGTTTATGTCTCTCTTTTCCTCTCCCATCAGGCTCAGCCTAGGAGCTGATGGGGCCCTGTGTATGACAATGATTCCATTGTTTCTGTCCAAATGAACCCCACAACGATATGGCTAGATGCCAGGGGTCATTTGCCCTTCCCTAATGTCTAGGAGCAGAGGCCTGAGCCCCAGGCCTGGCATGGCAGGATAAGCCCATTCTGCTCATAGTTCTGATGGAGGCAAAATCAAACTGGTCACGCAGCTCTTGAATCCAGAGTCTGCAGAAGTTAGCACTCTCTCTGCCCTGCAAAGCAACCGTCTCGGGGCTGTAGATGGGCTGCAATCTGGAAAGCAGAAAGCAGCCCTGCCTTCTCTCTCTGGCACCCTTCTTGCCCTCCCACACCCTGTTCTGCAGGCAATGACTTCACAGCTAGAAGGAGCTTTGTTAGAAATTACACACACGTGGGTTTTTTATTTTCCCCGTTTGGATGGGAGAGCTGCTTGCTCAGGGCTCCCTCCCTCTCCAAGGACAGGTAGGCAGTTCATGTTTATACATGTGATCCAGAAATATCTAACGAGCCCCATGCTAGGGCTATTGACATTGCCTGGACCTGAAGGATATCACATCTCCCTCCAGCTGCTCTTTCAGAGGCTAGGAGGAACCATCAGAAAGTAGAGACAAAATAGAGGGGGAATCCTGGGTGGGGAACTGCCCTCAGTGCCATGGGCACTTAGAAACAATAATGTCCTCTGGGTCCCTGAGTAAAAGCTGCATTCCCAAACACATTACCCCACGTGGAGCATGAGTGATGCTACAAAGAAAACAAGAAGTGAAGTAGACAGTGCAGAGCTGGGGGGAGATGGGAGCAATTAGGAATGTAAAAGTCCTGGGTCCTTGAGATGGTTGGGTAAAGAAAGAAAAAAAAAAAAGCCCTTGAATCAGTAATGTGAGTTCCAGTCCTTGCTCTACTGCATACCAACAGCGAGTCACACAGAACCTGAGTTTTTTCATCTAAGAAAAAAAAAAAACCACTTTGCAGGGTTGAAGTGGAAAAATCAAATAGATATCCTGTCTATAAGATTTGCAAAATCTAGCCTTTCCTGCCTCCCTGCCTTCCACACTTTCAAGGGACGTCTAGTACATGATGGCGTCACGTTTCCTATCTCTCACTCAGACCTGGGGTGGTCTTGAAGGTCCTGCTTGGCCACTTCCGGCTCCCTGGCTGACCCAGGGGAGAAAGGTTTGGGAAGTTCCTAGGACAGAGCTGCATGGGGATGCAGCATGAGGAAGCTGCTATTCTAGCTTCCCCTGACCCAAGCAGGTGGGCAGGGTGTTGGGCTAAGGGGATGTCCGCTCCTTAAAGGTCTCGGTAAGGAGATAGGGCAGCCTTCTGGGTCCAGTGAGAGGAATCCTTACCCTGCAGGCTGTCCCTGATCCTTTCCCAGCTTCCTGTCCACTCCAGGCCCTGACAGCTGCCTGCCCTGACAGCGAGTGGCACAGCCATGTGATGTCTGTGTGCTCCTCCCACAGGCCACAGAGTGGGCCTCCAACGAGGACACACGCCGCTCCTGCCAAAGCAAAGGGAAGACTGAGGTATGTGGCCTTGGTGGTCTGGAGGCCTGCCTGGCTTGGAGCCAGGAGGAGGCTTTTGGTTTGGGGGATGGAGGGTCATGGTGTGGGCATGAGGCTGCCTGTACAGAGGCCCAGTCTGGATGAGCCAGGGCCTCCTGTGCAGGTGAGGATCAGCTCTGAGTATCTGAGAGGGCAGTGATGCAGTGAGATGGACTGGAAGGGAGGTAGGTGCAGGGCATGGGATGTCCACAGACGCAACCTGAACTTTGGAGCACGGTGGAGCTGGGACACAGAAGAGTGTTTTGGAATATGTGTGGTATGGTGGTGTGAGGGACAGAAACCCAGCACCATGCCTGGAGCGTTTGTCCCTCTATTGCTTCCCTTTCCTGCTTTAGGAGGAGTGTCAGAACTACGTGCGAGTCCTGATTGTCGCTGGCCGGAAAGTGTTCATGTGTGGGACCAATGCCTTTTCCCCAGTATGCTCCAGCAGACAGGTGTGGGGCGCTGTGGGGTGGGGAGTCGTAAGGGGACACCAAGAGGTTCTCTCACCCAGGCACACAGTCTTGGAGTGGGGTTGCCAAATTTAGCAAACAACGATAACAAAAACCCCCAAACGAGAAAGGATGCCCGTTTACATTTAACTTCAGATAAACAACAAATGATATTTTAGTATAAGGATGTCCCATGCAAGATTTGAAACATCCTTATACTAAAAAAAAATATTCGTTGTTCACCGAAATTCAAATTTAACTAGGCCTGTGTTTTGTCAGTCAACCTTACCTTGGAGAGTCCTGACTAGGATGTAAGGGCTAAAGGCAGATGGAGCTCCTGGCACAACCTCCTTCTCCATGGTGGCTACTCCCTCCGAGGGACTGTGGGGTGGGCAGTGAGTAGGGGTCTGGAGAGAGGGAGAGGCCCACAGAGACCAGGGGTCCAGGAGGAAATAGCTCTGGGGTGGAAAGAACAGGTAGCCCCTGGTTCTCAGGGAAAAGTGCCACCCTCTCTCCAACGTCCCCAGGTGGGGAACCTCAGCCGGACCATGGAGAAGATCAACGGCGTGGCCCGCTGCCCCTATGACCCTCGCCACAACTCCACAGCTGTCATCTCCTCCCAGGGGGAGCTCTATGCAGCCACAGTCATCGACTTCTCGGGTCGGGACCCCGCCATCTACCGAAGCCTGGGCAGTGGGCCGCCCCTTCGAACTGCCCAGTATAACTCCAAGTGGCTCAATGGTAAGGGGCACAGCCCCAAGGGTGGAGTTGCCCTGGTTCTGACCCAGCAGCCCACCCTCACCCCCATCAATCCTCCTTCCTGCCCAGTCTTTGGAAAGGCTCACATTCACTTTATCAAGAGGCCCAGAGTGGGGCGTGTGTTTGCCCGAGGACCATCGCATGTCAGAGATAAACTCGGGATGAAATCACAGATGTCCTGAGTACCCAGAACAGATGGAGGGCAAGCTTGAGGGGAGAGAAAGGGTTAGGAATTGATTTGGAGGAAAGGTTACAGGAAAGAAGAGATGGGGGGCGAGTGGTATGAGTTCCCTGCCCCTCGGAGTGAAATCGCTGATTCTCCAGAGACTAGCAGTGTGGCCTTCAGCAAGTACTGACCTTTCTGTGCCACAACGTTCTCATGTGTGATAAGGTGCTAACTGTATACTTAGTTCACAGGCTGTCAAGAGGATCAGATCCACATAAAGTACTCGAAGTAGTGTCTGGTACACAGCGAGTGCTCGGTAATGCACGTTAACTATTATTATAATTGCACTTTGTACTGGAGGTGGGAACAGGGCTAGTTAGAGGCCCCAGGTCACCAAGCTGGCAGAGGGTTGTCAGATGCCCATCTGAGAAAACGGAGGTAGTTGAGTACTTCCTCCCTGCTGGCCTGATCCACCCCTGATTTCTCTCTGCCCCTCAGAGCCAAACTTTGTGGCAGCCTATGATATTGGGTTGTTTGCATACTTCTTTCTGCGGGAGAACGCGGTAGAGCATGACTGCGGACGCACGGTGTACTCTCGGGTGGCTCGTGTGTGCAAGAATGACGTGGGGGGCCGCTTCCTGCTGGAGGACACATGGACCACGTTCATGAAGGCACGGCTCAACTGCTCCCGCCCAGGCGAGGTTCCCTTCTACTATAACGAGCTGCAGAGTGCCTTTCACCTGCCTGAACAGGACCTCATCTACGGGGTCTTCACCACCAACGTGTGAGTACCTGCCCTCTGCCACCCCTTCCCTGTGATGCTGGGGACATGCTCTGATCTGGCCCAGCAGCCTTGTGGGCTTGGGCAAGTCCCTCTCTGAGACCTTGTTTCTCTTTCTATAAAATGGGATTGTCGTGCCTTCTGTACTGGGTCATCTGAGGATTTTGTGACTTGCTGTCTCTGCAGTAGTCAGCATTTATTCTGGGTTGCTGGAAGTGCAAACCTAGGCCAGCTAAGAAGAAATAAAAGGAGGTGGATTGTGGCTCCATGAAGAAGAACTTGCTGGTGATGAAAGTGAAATAGCCTGCCTCGGATGAGGGGATGGCAGCCCTGGGAGGGTCTGGTAGCCGCCTATCGGGGAGGTTAAGGGCGCGTTCCTTACTGTCCCTTCCAACCTCAGGTAAACCTAACCAGCAGTCTTCTGGCAATCCTGACTGCACTGGAGAACACAGGCGGGGAATTAGAACCGTCTTGTTTCCTAGGTGTAAGGAAGGGTAGCCCTCACAGGGATCATGAGCCCTCCTCCTGCTTCCTCTCGTGGCTGAATGGGCGGCAGAGACAAAAACAAACAAAAAAGCATTTGTTATACAGGATGCTATGCAGGGTTTGTAAGAACATCGGAAACACATGAGCCATAGAGACTGCCTACCTTGGGACCCAGGTAGCAGGCACTGGTCGAGGGCCAGGCTAGGTATAGGAAGGCCAGTCTGAGAGGGATGAGGGTAAATCTGGGAAGCAGGAACAGAGAGCCCATCCAAGCCAGGAGGTCAGACATGCAGCATAGCTCACACAGACCAGGAGCACAGACCAGACAGCTGGGACTTAGTGACCGGCTTAGCAATCAGCACCAGAAGGTGAGCAAAGGGCAGGAGCCACTGGAGAGGCATTAAGGGGAAATGACGACATTAGTGTAGAATGTAAATAGCTTATGCATCGTGTGCTTTCTCCATGCCAGGTGCTTGTTGGGCAGTGGAGGTGGGGAGTACCAGAGAGCAAGAGCAGACCTGGCTCTGCCCTTGAGCTCACATTCTAGAGAGGGTGGTTTTTACACACACAGTGATAGATAAATGCTATGAAGGGAAAGGGAAGCATGCAGGGAAACAGACTCTAACGGTATGGAGGGGTGGTGATAAGGGAAGGCTTCCTGTAGGAAGCAATGTCCACAGGATGAATAAGAATTAACTAGGGGAAAGGACAGGTCCAGCCTGGGGGAGCAACACAGACAAAGCTTTTGGGTCAGAAGAAATAAATGTTTAAGGACCTGAGCCAGACCAGTGTGACAGGAGTCTGGAGAGTGAGGAAGAGAAAGACAGTAGAAAAGGCTGAAGGGCAGGGACAGGGAGGATCATGTCCCGAAAGCCTTGTAGTTTGCTTTATGGGTTTTGATCTTTATCCTAAGAGCAAGAAGCTATTGAAGGGCTTGAAACAGGCCAGAGACTAGCCTGGATGTGCATTTTGAAACACGCACTTTGGCTGCTGTGTGGAGAATGGATTACAGGAGACTAGGTGGTCTGCAGAGAGGCCAGCCAGGAGGACAGTGAGCATCCAGGAGAGACAAGGGGCCTGAGACCAGGAAGATGGGGAGAGAAATGACACATTTGGGGGTGGGACTGAATGCAGAACACAGAACCGCTAGGTGTAGTGGTATCATCTCCGAACTGTTCGCATCAACTCATAGAAATGTCAGGCTCTGTGACTGAAGGGGTCATTCAGGTCATCTGACTCAGGGAGTTGCGGGCTGTGGCATAAATCAGTGATTTGATAAGTTTGGTAACTAGCTCTTTTTTTTAAAAAAAAAAGAAAGTAAAATAAATGAAACAGAATAGACTGGGATAAAAATACCAGAGTATAATGTATTTAGTAAGGATAAGTATTGTTTCATGAAAATTCATTGCAGATGTGTGTGTGTGCATATATGTGTATTATATTGAGTTGTAATATAAAATATATTTTTTACAGTGGCCGTGGATAAAATGTTTAACAACACTGACTTTATTTGACCCTCCCATGGGAGAGGGAAAGGGGATGAGGAAGTAACACAGAGGAACCCACCAGTGCTTCTCATCAGTGGGTCTTGCTTTCCCAGAGGGTTTCCAGAGCATGAGGACTATGCTCCTTCAGTGACACTCCCATCATGAGGAAGGCACCAGGCTCATCATAGGTGCTTAATTGGCTTTGGAGCTGTGCCAGGCCGTGCCTTGACAGCTGGCTGTGGGTTTAAGGAGGGTGACGAGGCCTATTTGAGGGAGGGAGATAGGACAGTATCGGCTATCTCTTGCCTTTCAGAAACAGCATTGCCGCTTCTGCTGTCTGCGCCTTCAACCTCAGTGCCATCTCCCAGGCTTTCAATGGCCCATTTCGCTACCAAGAGAACCCCAGGGCTGCCTGGCTCCCCATCACCAATCCCATCCCCAATTTCCAGGTACAGCTTCTCCTCCTTTCCCCCCCTCCGCCCACATGACCTTCCCCCAGACTACATGCCACAAGCTGATTCCCAACTGCCTTAGTGCAAACACCAAACCTGTCTCTGCTGGTCTCTGCTCATCTGAGGGGTCTGCAATGGTACCCTAAGAGGGTGATAACTTCTAAGTCTGCATAGCAAGAAGTGGAGAGTGGGAGGGACACAGAGCAAGGGAGCATGCTCTGAACCATCTCTAAATGTGACCCTCCACCAGGAAGATGGGACCTCAGCTTTACTAAGTGTAGTGGAGAGCAAGCATGAGCTATCTGGCCAGAATTAGAGGATTTCAGCTGGAGTTTGCTTGCAGCCTATCCAGCGTGGGTATTAAGCCTGGAGGGTTTCTGAGTGCCAGCAGTGATAGGGTCACTGGGTGCCCTGGGTAGTATGAGCATCCCCAGCACTGCGATGGAGAAGCAGTGCAAGCCATGGAGCAGAAGAAGCTGCTTATGGTGGAGTTTCATATCTACCTAACTTCTGGCCCAGGGCCAGTATGGAGCAGGGAAAGCCCTCAGGATTTGCCCTGACCCAGATATAGCCCTCTCTCTGTGTGACCTTGGGCAAGTCACCTAACCTCCTCTAGTTACTTTTTCTTTATCTGGCATGTAGGGATAATTCCACTGACCTCGTAGATATGCGTGAGGGTTGATCTGCACCTGAAACGGTGCCTAGAAGGTAGTAAGTGCTCCATAAATGGTAGTTGCTTTTCAGTTTTGGTTTGGAAGACATAAGAACTTGAGCTGGTAGGATCACAGGAGAGGGAAGGCAGGGTTTGGCTCAACACGAGGGGGCACCTACAGCAACAGCATAAAATCACAGGACATTTGTTATCCACACTCAAATAATCCAGATGGTGGAGTTTCATATCTACCTAACTTCTGGCCCAGGGCCAGTATGGAGCAGGGAAAGCCCTCAGGATTTGCCCTGACCCAGATATAGCCCTCTCTCTGTGTGACCTTGGGCAAGTCACCCAACCTCCTCTAGTTACTTTTTCTTTATCTGGCATGTAGGGATAATTCCACTGACCTCGTAGACAGTAGATATGCGTGAGGGTTGATCTGCACCTGAATCGGTGCCTAGGAGGTAGTAAGTGCTCCATAAATGGTAGTTGCTTTTCAGTTTTGGTTTGGAAGACATAAGAACTTGAGCTGGTAGGATCACAGGAGAGGGAAGGCAGGGTTTGGCTCAACACGAGGGGGCACCTACAGCAACAGCATAAAATCACAGGACATTTGTTATCCACACTCAAATAATCCAGTCCCCTTTGCACTTCCCCTTC